CCAGATGATGCTGCCCTGGCTGCCCCCCACACAGAGGCCCCGGGTGACGCTGTCCTGGCTGTCCTCCACAGCCAGACCCCAGGTGATTGTGTATGTCAACACAACTTTGCAGGCATTTGTGACTTTCCTTCAGAACTAGACCTTGTGTGACAGCCATAGCACATGTTGCTGGCACAAAAAGAAGCCCCCAGGCTCCTGATAAGGCGGCCCCAGGTCCCCAGAAGCTCCCACCCGGCGGCTCTGACTGGGGCATGTGGCCTGAGCAGGGCCCCGTCAGTGCACAGGGACAGGAGCATGGGTGCCACACGGGGGGTCAGAGGTCATCACGTGGAACGCACTTGAGCCTTGGACGAGGCAACACGGGGACATTCTGGGGACAGATCAAGGAGCCAGCGAAAGGGAAAACTGGCTTCTCCATGCTGAGCCCCACACAGCGCACGATGCCCTGGCTCCCTCTGAGGCCCCACAGTGAACAGGGCCAGCAAACACGGGCATCTGCCACTCACACCCCTGGAAGGGGTCACCAGGGCTGCAGGGGGCTCCTGGGTGCCAGTGGGCGATGGCTCCTCTGAGAGACACGAGGGTCTCCAGGGAGGGGCAGGGCTGYGCTCCCACCAGGGCTCGGACTCTGTCTGGACACACCAGTAAGGCTCCCAGGGGGTCCTGGTGCTGATCAGTGGGCCCYGGTGCTGACCAGTGAGTCCCAGTATTGACCAGTGAGTCCCAGCAATGACCAGTGGGCCCCAGTGCTGACCAGTGTGTCCCAGCAATGAGCAGTAGGTGCTGGCCAGTAGGTCCTGGTGCTGAACAGTAGGCCCCAGTGCTGACAAGTGGGCTCCAGTGCTGACCAGTATGTCCTAGCACTGATCAGTATGTCCCAGCAATGAGAAGTAGGTGCTGGCCAATGGGTCTTGGTGCTGAACAGTTGGTCCCAGTGCTGACCTATGGATCCCAGTGCTGGCCAGTGGGTCCTGGCACTGACTGGCTTTGGCATTTCGACTGTCCCTGCCTCCCACCTGACTGGGAGGACAGGGCTGTGGTGTCTGCCCAGGCCGGGAGCCCCTTTCCCTGCCTGGAGATGTGTCCAGCTGGTACATGAGTCATGTGGCCAGTGCCAGAAAGGTCCATCCCACGAACCACACAGTGCATGCTCAGGATGCCTCCCATCTATGGCAGGATGAGGCATCTGACAGCCAGAGTGGTCCTCCAACACTGTCCTCCATGGGGCATCTCCTCTCATACTGGGCCCTGCCTGCCCAACCCGGCAGTGACCACAGGAGCAGCTGTTAAGTTACCGCCTCGGCCTTCAGGATGGGCTCTGGTGACCTCTGAGACGCCTGCTGTAGAGGGCAGCTGCACTGGCCATCTGCTGTGGCACTGGGCGGGGACCTCAGTTTTTCATCTGTCCAGTGGGGCAGCAAGAGCTTCCTCCTAGAAGGTGACCCTAGGGGTACAGGGGCCTTGGGCATGGGCTGAGTGGCTGTCGGATTCACCAGGGTGGCCAGTGCAGAGAACAGGTCAGCTAAGGTGCTGTGAGAGTCCACGTCCCCACCAGCCTTGGGAAGATACCCACCTGCAAGCCAGCCGGGTCTGGGGAGAGGCCACAACGGGCTRCCCACTAGGAGGGATGGTCCTTGCTGGCTCTGTCCTCGGATCCCAGCACAGTGTGGGTGGTAGTGTATGATGAGGGTGAGATGGCCCAGGCCGGATCTGGGGTGCTGGGACTGATAGGGCAGGACCTGAGGAGGGAGGGAGAGGGTGGAATGACCGGTGCGCAGGACCCAGGGGCGGTCAGGTGGAGTTGGAAGTGAAAACCAGCAGGAAGTTTCAAGGGATCTTTCAAGGGGCTGAGCACAGTGATTTGCAGCTGGGACAAGTGATTCTGTCCTTGCTGGACTTGCTGAGGCAGGTCTGACTCAACAGAGGCCTCCACCATGAGCACAGCCAAACTCTGGCTCCCTCCTGCCTGGTCTCCCAGCAGCCTTGGTTGGATGGCCGCCCAGCAGGGTGTGAGCCAGGTCTGCCACTCACAGACTGTGTGACATTGAGTGTGTTGCTTGACCTCTTTGTGCCAGGGTTTCCTTACCTGCCGTCGSGTGCTGTGGAGAGTGAAGGAGGGGGCTGTGCAGAGGGTGCACTCTGTACAGAAGTCACCGCCACCACTGTCCCATGCCCAGGTTAGGAGTGAGCCAGCAGGTCTGGAGCCACCTGACCAAACAGGGCATGGTTCTGGGGAATGGTGGAGCATCTGAAGAGTGGTCACTGCTGCTTTGACCTTGGACACCCTTCACCAGTTCAGAGCTGTGATCCCCCTCGGGGTCCCTCCAGGCTGGGCTCCTCTCATCTGAGCATCCACCTGTGGACAAGTCCTGTGGAGCTTGGGTGTGGTTATAGGGCAGTTGCAGCCGTACCCATGACCTTGGAGGATGAGGCACTGGTGGCCAGCAGGCCAGGCGGGTGGGGACGTCCACACTGGCAGGGAAATGGGCAGAGGTTGGTGCCTCCAGAGCAGAGCCTCCGCATTCCTCCTACAGTCAAAGGCAACCATCACATAACTAAAAATAACAGCAGCTGAGGGAAGCTGGGACGTGGCAGCGCAGGCGGAGGTGGCAGTGGACGGGGCTCATTTCTCATGTCCAGGAGCCCAGGGAATTGTCTGCTAGCGAGAGCTGGGCCCAGAGATTCCTGTGCGCAGTGCCCAGAGCAAGAGGGCAGCACCAGAGCTGGGGAACCAAGTCCTCAGGCTGCGAGGCTGACAGAGGGGCACCCCGCGGGTTCCTCCAGGATGTCTGGATCTCAATACAGCATGTTTCACATTTAATGGAAAGGAAGCCCCGGGCTTGACAGGCCCCTCTGGCCAGGCAGGGAGAACTGGCTCTGTGGTGACACCCGTGCCCTGGGAGCCTCATTTGCAGACTTCTCAAGGTGGAGAGCAGACTTTCTAACAGCGTGGCCATCATGTAGCAATGCTAAGTGAACATAAGAGACGGAGTCGCTCTGCACCCTGACCTTTCAGTCCCAACCCGGTGTGYGTCCCCCCTACGTAAGCCTCCACACAGCTTCCCCGTTTGAAGTGGAATGTCCTGGAAACACGGAGATGCACAAGATGGGACACCCTAGCTGTCTAAGCAGAGAAGCCCCCTGGACAAGCAGGGTCCAGGCTCCTGTGCCTTCAGTCCCTCCCCAGGGCTGGACCATACATTCTGCCTGGTCTAGAGGATGAAGGGTGGGCATTTGCATGTCCACAGCCTGATGAAGACCAGAGGCCTCTCCAGGAGCTGACAGGTGGCAGCTCAGGGACAGGTCCCTCTGCCTTTTTTTCTGGCTTACATTCCACCCCCTACCACCCACTCCAAGTAGCTGTCCTGTTCTCCCAAAAGGAAGAACAAGGGCTGCCCTTGCCTATGGACACTGCTCTGAGCTGAGACCCCCCCTTCCTGGCTCCAATGACTGGCTAGATCTTTCTTCAACCTGGTGTCCCCAGGCACCCTGCCCCCTCTCACCCATGATGTCCAGTCTGTCACCAGGGAATCCCTGATCATTCCCAGTCAGCCTGGTCCCTGAGGGACCTACAGAGCAGCTCCTGTGCTCCTGATTTTTGATGGTCAGTGTCCACTGCTTCTGGCTTCTCTCCCCGATGACACGTCTCTGTCGTCCTTAGCAGTAGCCTCCCTTGACAGGCATGGGTTTGCAATAGTTTGCATGGTAGGACTGATGCTGTCCAGGGCTGGGAGAACAGCTGCTTTGCTTTTGAAAGTTCAATTACCTTCAGTTCTTTGTAATTGTTAATTTTTTTTTAACATCAATACACTAGTCTTTGCTTTTCAGACAGTTGCAGGTTTATAGACCAAATAAGCTCAGAGTACAGAGAGGTCCACAGACTCTGTGCCCCATGCCATTATTGATTCTGATGTTAATATGATAAGCCAATATTGATGCATGCTTAACAACCTGAGCCAATATCTGATATCCACACTGAGCATTGCTGACCTGAGCATTGATATACGGTTGCTAGTCTAAGGTATTGATACATGGTTGCTGGTCTGAGCATATTGATTCATGGTTGCTGGTCTGAGGTATTGACACATGGTTGATAGTCTGAGTGAACTGATACATTGTTGCTGGTCTGAGCATATTGATACATGGTTGCWGGTCTGAGCATATTGATACATGGTTGCTAGTCTGAGCATATTGATACATGGTTGCTAGTCTGAGCATATTGATGAATGGTTCCAGTGTGAGCATATTGATACCTGGTCTGAGGTATTGACACATGATTGCTAGACTGAGCATATTGATACATGATTGCTGGGCAGATCATATTAATACATAGTTGCTAGTCTGATCATATTGATACATGACTGCTGGGCAAATCATATTAATACATAGTTGCTAGTCTGAKCATATTGATACATAGTTTCTAGTCTGAGCATATTAATGCATGGTTCCAGTGTGAGCATATTGATACATGGTTGCTAATCTGAGCATACTGATACTCTTGATAGTCTGAGCTTATTGACACATGGTTGCTGCTCTGAAATACTGATGCAAGTCTACCATACCACCCTGAACGCGCCCCATCTCGTGTGCATGATTGCTGCTCTGAAGTACTGGTTATTGGTCTGAGGTACTGACACATGGTTGCTGGTCTGACGTAACTCTGAGAGGTCCACAGACTCTGTGCCCCATGCCATTATTGATTCTGATGTTAATGTGATAAGCCAATATTGATACATGTTTAACAACCTGAGCAGGATGATTGACTACAGCAGGCTCAGCGCAGTGGGTGGTGACCTGCAGCCACCTGCAGTATCACAGAGGTACTGCCCTTGACACCTGGTGCCCCCTGCTTGTCCCATCTAGCTCCTGTGGGCCTGTTCTTCCTGACCACAGTCCAGTCTTTTYTAAGGGGTGGCGTTGGAATTGGGAATGGAGAGGGACTGAGGGGATGTGGGGCACCTTGGACTCTGCCTGACCCACCCTCCCCTGTGCCCCTCCAGGTCTTGCAAAACCCATCGGCCTGGTAGAGGGGCCAGGTGGCCTGGGTCAGGGAGGCGTGGCGGCCACTCTGCAGGAGGACAGCCAGGAGAGGGAAGGCAAGTACGAGGAGTATGGCTACAATGCCCAGCTCAGCGACCGCATCTCCCTGGACAGGACTATCCCCGACTACAGGCCCAAAAAGTGAGTGCCAAGGGCCAGCCAGCTGGCCATGTGCTGCCCTGCCGAGGAGCCACCATGGGGGAGGGGCCTGCAGGGCCACCTGCTGCCACCCCACCCTCGCCTCCTCCTCCTTCTTTTCACTCTATCTCTCCCTCCAGTTCTTCTCTCTCTTTTCTCATGATCTCTGTCTCCCTCTGTCTCTGGGGTTCTCTGGCCATGGGCACCCTCTTCCTGCACGGCCACAGGCCACACCTCTCCCTCAGAATGGAAGCCGGGGTGGAGAGGTGGCCGTGCCGGCTGAGGTCCTGTGGCCAGTCTGTGGCCYCTGCCTGGCCCCACCTGGCCTGCTCCTCCCGCTGGCTTCTGGGGTTTTCGCCACAGCCACTGCCACACTGGTGTGAGCCCATGTGTCCTGTCTGAGACACTGCCTGCCCTCAGTGGGCGATGATCCCTTGTCCCACCACCCTGAAGCCACAGCAGCCTCAGAAAATCCCTGAGGACAGAGTCCTACCAGYCCTCAATCCTTACAGCTGTGGCAAAGCCACACAGGCCGCCTGGAGGGGCCGAACTGGGGTGCCTGGGAAGGGGACAACAGCCAGGCTTGGAGGCCACTGGCAGGTGGGCCATTCCTCCCATCTGCAGAGCCTAGCAGGATGGAACCCTCTGCCCTGGGTACCAGGATTCAGTGGCAGGTGGAGGCTTGGTGACCTTCCTGTCCCCTGGAGCAATGCCAAAGGACAGGCAGATGAGGAGGAGGGGTCCGTTTCCTGCCTTTTTGAGGAACTCCCTCCACCTGGACCTGGAGACCAGGATTCTCATGCAGGGCTTGTGGGGAGGGGGCAGGCCACTCAGGGTGGAGGGTGAGGCCCAAGAAGGCGCCTGGTCCTGGTCCACCTGGGAACGAACGGTCCGTGCACATCCTGGAGTCCCTCAGACAGGGAGAGTGAAGCCCAGGTGGAGGTGTAGCTACTGCAGCCATTTGAGGATGATGGTGTGATTGGGTGTCAGTGTGTTGACCTCATAGTCACCCCTGGTCAGCACAGCCAAGGCTGGCCTCTGTGAAGGGATGAGATGCAAATTTCTTTTGAGTAAAAACTGTACTTGAGTTTAAAACAGGACAGTTTTTAAAAGCTCAATAAGAAGGAATACAGAAGTGCCCAATATGGCAGCATTCACAGAGGTGGCCCAGGACCCGCCATGCGTCAGCTGGCCTGTGTGTACATGTGTCTGTGTGTGCATGTGTGTGCATGTGTGTGTAYATGTGTGTGTACGTGTGAATGTGCACATGTTTCTGATGGGAAAACTATAAGGGACATGAACCAGCCAGGGATCAGCAATTTGGAGAAGCTGGTCTGTCCAAGGCATTAAGGGACAGGCACAGAAATAGTTACTTGGGCCCAATGAGAGCTGGGAGCTCTGTGGGGACCTGATTTTGGAGAGAAGACATCACTTTCAAGACATGGGAAGGTAGGGAGGGGCGAGAAGTCCCTGACACCCCTCACCTTGAGTTTCTTCTCCTGTGGACCCCACCCAGCAGAAGCCAGATAGGAAGGGATCCTGCAAGAAGCAGCCCAGGCAGCCAGCCTGTAAGGTTCTCAGCAGGATGGGAAGAGTAGGAGCCCCGGCTGCCACCCACAGAAGAGCTGGCCCAGCCCAGGCAAGCTCTAGCACAGTGGGACCTCTTGGCCTCCAGCTCAGGCTGGGCAGGAGGGAGGAACAACCCAGCAGAAGTCTCAGGCCAGAGTCTCATTGACCCATGTTGGGTCATGTGCCCATCCGGGAACCAATCACAGCCAGCAGCCTGGACCGCAGCTCACCTATTGGTCACATGCTCCCCTGGGAACTGGAGCTGGGGGCAGAGGCCAGCAGACCTTCAGTAGAAACCAGTTTCTGGAAAAGTCAGGCTGCTGCTCTGCAGGCCTAGCGCACCAGGTGACAGCCTTCCTCCCACCGCTGATCCAGCAGGTGCATGGGTGGCAAYCCACAGCTGGCGGGGTGGGTGGAGCCCGGTGCCCTGCCAGGGCTCATAGGCATGGCCACTGTGTGCTGTACGCCAGGCTATTTTTAAGTCCCAAATAACTGGTATCTTTGGTGCCTGGTTCTTTTATTGGGGGCCTTGTTTTAAGTAGTTTGTTTGATTTTTAGTTTTAGTTAGACATAATACCTTTATTTTTTTATTTTTATGTGGTGCTGAGGCTCGAACCCAGGGCCTCATTCRCCCCAGGCAAGTGCTCTCCCCCTGAGCCCCACCTCCTGCCACATACCCACCTGTGGACCCCAGAGAGTTAGATGCTGCCTGTGAATTTGGGCCAGAGGGTTAGAAAGTGTGCCCCTGGAGCCATGCCCCTGGACTGCTGTGCTTCTCCGCTGACCTCAAGTGCTCGCCCTGGAGCCCTGACGGGATGGACATGGGGTCAGATGAAAAGCTGGGAAGGGAAGGGGCAGGGAGTTGCCTAGGACCCCCAGGGTCAGCTGGAGAGGCCATGCTCCTTCTGCCCTGCTTGGCCCCAGAGAATGGCCGTGGGAGCCATCCAAGGGCTCTAAAGCCACCGCCCAGTGAGCAAGTGGGGCCAGTGCACAGGAGAGCACATGTGAACTGGCCCCGGGACAGACAGGGAGTCGTGGGCCATCCCAGCTGCCCAGCCCTGCGGCCCTGTGCTAGCTGCTCCTGACAACCACAGGCATCCCCCGACTCAGCCCCAAAGTCCTGACCCCAGAAACCGTGAAAGGATACACAGAGGCAGGTGTGGRGCCACCAGCTCCAGGCTGGGCCCAGAAGGAAATCAGTGGACATCCAGGTGGGGGTGAGTGGGAGCAGCTCTGACCTGTAGCCTCGGTAGCTACGCCTGGTGCTCAGCAGGCCCAGCAGAAGCCCCGGCAGGGGACATGGGGAGCAGCGCAAGCTGAGTCCTGCCTGCAGAAGCTTCAGATCTCATTTCAGGACCTTGGTCCCTCCATGGCTGGTCAGAACTGCCCACGGAGCACAGGCCAGGGCTAGGGCACATGTGCCTGCGCACACGCGTGGTCCCCACCACAGCTCCACCCGCTCAGTGGCAGCCTCCCCTTTCCTAGTGGACACCACTTGATTTCCCTTTGTCTGCAGCTAGAGAGATTTTCTAATTAAACCGCGGCTCTAATTAGGCCACAAAGCACATAACGTGGTCTTAGCTATCAGATGGCCCGCGGGATCTGAGAGGAAGCGTGAATCCCAATTAAGCTGTGCCAGAAAGGAAGRAGCTGCCCTAGGACTGTGCGCGGCCCAGCGGGGACACTCTGGTGGCCAACGTAGTCTCGGCGCATATTGATTGTTTCCGCTGTGAGGGGCTCAAGGCTCCGCTATCAGCCTAGCAAGGGCAGGTTTGGTGGAGGGTGACTTCGAGGGCTGGGAACGGCTCCTCGTGACCAACTCGAAAAAGGAAGCTGCTGAAGATGCCTCTCCTCTTTCTGGTCTTCATCATGACGGCAGACTGCTCCAATAGGTGGCCAGGAGGACTGGGCACCTTGGAAATGTGCCCCATGTGTGGCTGCATCCTGCAGGTAGCCTTTGGGCTGCGGGCCACGCCAGGCTGAGACCAAACACAGTCCAGACTTCCATGGACAAGCAGCAAACCCCTGTGCCCAAGCCAGCAGACCTGCCTTTGCCAGTCTGTGGGCATCCATACCCATGCCCTCCTGGGCAGGCTGGGAGAGTTCATCTGGAAGGTCCCGTCGCCCTGCTCTTCCCCAGTGGCCAGGAGCACAGAGGCCTCTGTCTGAGTAACCCGGGAGAAGTCTTGCAGCAAGATGGCTTCCTGCAGGGAAGGCAGCCTGTTTTGGGGTGAGGGCCACTCAGACCTTGAAGAAGAGGTGCTCCATGTTCTGGGAATTTCCTGGGCAGAGCGAGCCTCTCAGTGGCAAGGTGGCTGGTGGGTGCCCTGCAGGCRAGAAGCAGGGTCCCCTGCCCCATAGCCTGTGAGGTCAGAGGGCTTCAGGGCACCACATCACACTCTCCATGGCTCATCCTCGCTGGCTGGCAGTTCTTCATGCCCAGGGCCATGCCCAGGAGCCCTGTAGCTCCCAGCCCAGGAGGGCAGGGAGTAAGAGTCAATCAGCTGTGTCCACCCTCAGCCAAGACCCAGGGCTGCTCATGATGGAGAGGCCTCATGGGGCAGGGAGTGCTGGGCCTGCTGGGTGGCCATCATCCTTGCACACATCTGATCTGGGAAGAGATCCTGCCCGTCACACAGATGARGGACCCAGGCAGGAGGCGATGGCTTGGGTCAGGAAGCCAAGACGAGACACCAGGCGAGGCACAGAGATGTGTGGCCACATAGAGGCCCCCCTCGTCACCAGGCACCCCCCTCACAGGCACCCTCATCACCAGGTGCCCTGTCACATGGGACCAACCCTTGTCACATGATGCCCCCATCATACGCTGCCCCCTCATCAGGTCCCCCAGTCATCAGGTGCCCCCCCATCACCCAGTGTCCCCTGTCACAGTGGCCCCTGGGTGCATGGCAGCCCCCTGGGTTGGCTCTGGGCTCGCAGGGTCCTTTCCTGCAGGCAGCGGCTCCTACCATCAGCCCTAAGGTGTCACCTCGAGGTGTCTCCCGTTCTACCTGTGCTGTGAGTGCATGAGAACCGAGCAAACTTCCTCCTCACTGAAAAGTGGGGTGGAGTYTTCTCATCAGAAAGTGTTTTTCTGAGTGATGAGACCTCCCTGGTGGGGGTCCAYGGCCCATATCTCTGCCTGGTGACGTGCAGGGTTTGCGCTTGGAGGAGAGGCTGCTGGGTGGGGCTAGGGAGCATCCTCGTCCTTAGAGCAGGTATCTTGGGCCTCTCTGGTGGCCGGGAGAATTGGAAGCCTGGTCCATGCAGAGCAGGTGTGGCCCCTGTGCTTCTGGCCAGGCTGGGCGACCTCTGGCCATCCCTCCCCACGTGTGGAGCAAGAGCTCCTGCTTTCTGCACTGAGCCACGTCCCAGCTACCAGGACGGGACGCGCTCTCCTTAGGCTGAGGTTGCTGTGGGTGGATCACTTAGGGTGGGGCCAGGCCCAGCGTGGCCAGTGTCCTGTGAGGAGGCGGATGCAGAGGCCCTGTGTGCCTTGGAGAGGGCTGCTAAGCCTTGGTGCTGCGCACACGATCGCATCCCTAGTGCTCTGTGGGCGTCAGAGCAGCCGCAGCCTTGGGAGGCCTCCCGTGCCCGGGCTCCTGTGTCCCAGCCTTTGGTCTCCACCAGGAGGCTGTACTGTCCTTCCTGTCACCGAGTCCCCATTCTCTCAACAGTGTTTCCCAGCTGCTGCAGGGCCAGGTGCACACATACACACCCTGCCCCTGTCCCCATCTCTGTCCCCACGCTGTGCYGCCTCCAGGTCCTGGAGGAGGCGTTCCCCTGGTCATCTTCCCATGTGTTAAGTTCTCAAATCCAAAGCCACCTTGTCCACACTGTGTGCAACAGGTGCAAGTGTGTTCATGTGTGGAGTGTGTGCATCGTGTGTGGGTGTGCATGTACATGTATGTGTGTGTGGTGTGCTCGTGTGTGTGTGTACATGTATGTGTGTGTGATATGCTCGTGAGCATGTGCATGTGCAAGCATGTGTGTATGTGTGCTTCGTGTGCGTGTACATGACATGCATGTGTGTGTGCACACACCTGCTGAACTTTCTCAACAACCTCTGCACTTTTCGGAGTCTGGGTCACTGGCTCTGCTGTGCGGCCAGCGCCCCTGACACTCCCTCCATCTTGTGTCACCTGGCAGCCCTACTTCTGTTCCCCTCTCACTCTGTCTTTACTTCCCACTGTGGGCTGGGTGCTGCTGTCCCCAGCACCCCTGTGATTTGGCTCACTGCTCCGTCAGTGTCGTCACCTCCTCAGACTGGCCCTGGTGCCCTCCCGCTGTCCCTCCTGACTCCAGGTCAGGCGGACTCTGAGGCCCCCTGCAGCCCTCTCTTCACACCGGGGACCAGGCCTGGCTGGGCGTGTGACTCTGCAGTCAGCGTTGCCCTTCTGGCCCAAAACCTGAGTGGCTCTGAGGCTCAGGCCCAGCAGGGCTACGTGGAGGGGCCTCGGCTCCCTGTCCCCAGGCTGCAAAAGGGCTCAGTGTCACCCACACCATCAGCAGGAAGCAGCTGCCGCAGCTCAGGGGAGGCCCCTGGGATGTCATGCTTGGTCCCCTGGCTATGGAGTGCAAAGAGCCCAGGATGCCTTGCCCACGCTGACTACCTGCCCCACAGGTGCAGACAGCTGACCTACTCGGGTGACCTGCCCCAGGTCTCCGTGGTCTTCATCTTCGTCAACGAGGCCCTGTCTGTCATCCTGCGCTCCGTGCACAGCGTGGTCAACCACACGCCTTCCCAGCTGCTGAAGGAGGTCATCCTGGTGGATGACAACAGTGACAATGGTGAGGGCGCTGTGGGCGCTGCGGGCAGAGGGACAGCAGGGTCCTCCCTAGGGGGGCAGGAGCCACAGTCCAGGGTGAGTGGCTAAACCCCCGGCCCTCGGTGCTCGTGCTCAGGCCACACTCATCTGCACTGCTCCCCTGGTCTGTGTCCCTTCTTCTCACGAGGACACGGGAATCAGGGACACCCCAGCTCATTGTGTGGTGCTTCATGCCTTTTTCATGAACTGTGGAAGAATGCATGTAGAGCTGGCCATCTTGAGGGTGCTGCTGGGGCAGCCGTGGCCACCCCCCTCGAGAGCTCTCCATCTTCCCAAACTGTAGCCCCACCACCCCCAGCCCCTGCTGTCCTGTCCTGCTGTCCTTTCCTGCTGTCCCCCTAGGACTTACTTCTCTTGGGCCTCCTGTAAGTGGACTCATGCTGGATGTGTCCTCCAGTGGTCAGCTTATATCAAGGCACACTGTGCTGGGGCTGGTCCAGGCTGCACTGGGCCCATTCCTCCCTCTTCACAGCTGTGTAGTGCTCCTGTGTGGCTGGGCCATTGCTGTCCACTCACCTGAAGGCCTCGGGTCCTTCTTACGGCTCAACAGTTGAGTCTGCTTCCCGCCCCAGCTTGCCTCCCTCTGGGCTGCCCTTGATTCTCAGTCACAGCTCTCCCTAGAACCAACCTGTTCTGCTCCTTGGGGGTCCTGGGGGTTTCAGAGAACATCCATGAGACATCAGTTGGGCCAAGCCGTGGGCTGGTGGCCTAGCCCTTCTGAACGGTGCTCTGAGGCGTCTCTCCCCTGCAGTGGAGCTCAAGTTCAACCTGGACCAGTATGTCCACCGGAGGTACCCTGGCCTGGTGAAGGTCGTCCGCAACAGCCGGCGGGAAGGCCTGATCCGCGCGCGGCTGCAGGGCTGGAAGGTGGCCACAGCCCCTGTGGTCGGCTTCTTTGATGCCCACGTGGAGTTCAACACCGGCTGGTAAGACCTGCTGGTCACTCTGTGGGCTGGGGGACATGGTATGCATCCCTGTGGGGACTTCAGATAAGGAACAGGCACACCCCAGGCCAGGGCCAGGCTGCTGCATGGCCGTGTAGTCCACAGGCCCAGTACAGTCACCAGAGGTGCTCAGAGAGCCCTAGAGGCCTGGCCACTCTGCACAGGAGGGGGCAAGTTCCCATCCTCACGGGAGATCTCAGGTCAAAGGGCCCAAGCTGCTTCTCATGCAGGAACGGCCCAGGTTCTGTGAGTGAGCAGGAGGGGGCTGGAGGGGACGTCAGGTGGCTGGCTAGCGGGAGTCAGGACGGCTTTAGGGGCCTCCGCCCACCCGCAGGCTGGGGCTCCTGGGACCAGAGAGGAAGGGCCTGTCCTGTCCCATCCCCCTGAGAGCAGCAGGAGTGCAGGTCTGTGGGCAGGGCACTGGTGGGGACAGGGGCTGCTTGCTTGCCCAGCCCAGAACCCTGGAGAAGCCCAGTATGGTGTCCCTGGTCCCTTGAGTGACCCACACTGTGGTGGGGGGKCAGGTGGTGACCTCAAATGTTGGTGTGGATGATGAGGGGCGTCCACCCACACCTGTAGGACACCCACCAACAGGCACTTTACCTGGGATCCAGTTCCAGTGACCACCTGCCAAGCACCCCCTCCCCAGTAGCCACTGCCAAAACTGCCAGCAGCTCATCAGCCTCCACCAGCAGCAAGTCAGGCCAGCTCCGGGGGGCAGCTCCCAGCTCAGCAGGCAGGGGCTGCTGATGGGTGCCCCAGGCTGCTCTGCCAGTGGCTCCCGCACAGTGGGATCTCAGACACAGGCTTCATGGGCAGACGGCGAGGCCCAGGGAAGGCTGCCCCTGCCCTGGAGCTGTTGGCCATGAGCAGCTGGACAGCCTGTGTCCTCCCRCCCTTTCCTCTCTGCCCTCACCACCTGCCACTGGCCCTCTCCCTCCCAGCCTGGGCTGGCTCCCCGCCACAGCAGGTAGGTGCCAGGGCCCCTGAGGCGCTCCCTCAACTCCCACCTCCTCCATCGTGGCCCAGAGCACCCACACCGAACACCCACTCAAAACCATGGCTCCCAGTTGCCCCCCCCTGCTACTCTACCAAGCCCCTCACCTTCTAAGACACTGACATCCCCTCCCCACTCCACAGGGCCTGTCGTGCAGGTGGGGCACTGCACACTGCTCGGGGCCCTTCAGTGAGTGGCAAGAGGCGTGGATCAGGARTGTATCCAGGGTCTAGGGCAGGCATGGCAGGTACGGGGCCTGGTGCAAAGGGAGGTCCTTCCACAGGTGCAGGGAGCAGGCAAGAGTGGGCCAGGTTGAGGGGCTGAGCCCACAGCGCTCTGATGACAGGACAGCCATTCAGAGTCACCCCAGGAAGACGATGGGTGGGGTGAGGACAGGCCAGGGCTCACAGGCTCATCCCCCACAGGGCCGAGCCCGCCCTCCTGCGCATCCGTGAGGACCGGAGGCGCATCGTCCTGCCGGCCATCGACAACATCAAGTACAGCACCTTCGAGGTGCAGCAGTACGCCAGCGCTGCCCACGGCTACAACTGGGGGCTCTGGTGCATGTACATCATCCCACCCCAGGACTGGCTAGACCGTGGGGATGAGGCGGCACCCATCAGGTGAGCAGCGGGGAGACCCACCCTAAGGAGCCAGGGCAGAGCCAGGTGGGGCAGGAAGGGAGCAGGGAGGGAGGGGAACCGAGGGGAGGAGGAGGGAGGGGAGATGGAGGGGGAGGGAGGGGAGAAGGAGGGGGGTGGGGGGGGGGGGGGGGGGGGGGGGGGGGGGGGGGGGGGGGGGGGGGGGGGGGGGGGGAGATGGAGGGAGAAGGAGGAGGGAGATGGAGGGAGGAGGAAGAGGGAGATGGAAAGAGAAGGAGGAGGGAGATGGAGGGAGGAGGAAGAGGGAGATGGAGAGAGGAGGAAGAGGGAGATGGAGGGAGGAGGAGGAGGGAGATGGAGGGAGGAGGAAGAGGGAGATGGAAAGAGAAGGAGGAGGGAGATGGAGGGAGGAGGAAGAGGGAGATGGAGAGAGGAGGAAGAGGGAGATGGAGGGAGGAGGAAAGGGAGATGGAGAGAGGAGGAGGAGGGAGATGGAGGGAGGAGGAGGGAGGGGCAGAGGGAGGAGGAGTAGAGCCACCAAGGGCCCCGGGGCAGTACAGGAAGCAGTGGGCATGGGTGTTGGTGGTGTGTGCTTAAGACAGACCGCTGTTTAATGGGACCCCACAGATGGCCCTGCAGGACACCTGTTTCATCTGCATGGTTTCTTGGACTGCAGCAGGACTGTAGCCCTACCCGCGTGCGCGACCCAGTATTCCCCAGAGGCAGAGTCAGGCTGCTCTAGGCATCCCCTAGGCCTTACGGAGAGGCAGCTGTCCACAGGGGTTTGGGGGTCCAGGTGGCTTCTGCAGCCCCCACCCTGGCTAGTCCTGCCAAGCTGTGGCTCTGTCTGGTGTAGACACTGGGCCTTCAGACTGGACCTCACAGACAGGCGGGCCCCCAGGGCAGAGGGAGCTGGGTGGGTTGCACACACCTAGCGCTTCCCTGCACCAGGTCAGTTACAGCAGCTGCTGGGGAGGAGGCATGCTCCTCCTGACCTGTCCCTCTGTGGTGCATCCCACCTTCTCCTCATGGGGACCCACCAGGGTGCCCGTGCTCACCTGTAGCCTGTGGCCTGTGGACCTGTGGACCCCACTGCGCCCAGTCAGTCTCTGCTCACCTTGCCAGGCCTCCCCCAGGGCTAGGATCTCAGGAGGTGGCCAGGACCCCTTCCTCCCCTGTCCCTGCTGACCCAGGCCACTTTGCCATGAGTGGCACCTGGCACTGTCCTCACATAGGAGGGTCTTGCAGGGGCTGTCTGATGGGGATATTATGGCCTGCAGATGATGGGAAGCCCAAGCCAGTCTCCTCAGGCCTGGAGGGCATCCACCCTCCATCAACCAAGAGCTGCCAAAGGGCACCCCGATGCTCAAGGGGTCGGGTGTTGAGAGATGATCCAACCAGGCTGAGCCACACTTCATGTCCCAATGAGGGGAAAACCACTTCCACTGTGGAGGAAGGTGCTCCAGAGAGCAGGACTAAGTAGGCTCCGGAGCTGGAGCAGGCGCCTAGGGCCCCCCAGGGCCCCACCCTTGGGAGCTGGTCCTCCGGGAGAGCCACAGGGGCAGCTGCTAGCCGGGGCAGCTCTTAGCAGAGCTTGATCCCAGCATAAATGCACCTGGGGACCCTGGGGACTCCCTGGAGCAGGGTGGCAGCTTGAGGGTGCTTTTTCTCTTCCAAGACGCACTTGACAATCCTCCTTAGCAGCAAGACAAACATCTTGTGTTCAATTTTATAAACCAGTTTAACGCAGGGGACCCAACCTCCCAGTCCTGGGCAGCAGCAGGTCCCAAACTGGTCTTATTCTCGTCACCTGGGGAGCCCTTAAACCCTAAGGATGCAGCCAACCAGAGAACAGGGACACCTGGCCCTAAGAAGGTGGGCTCTCTGCCATGGCTCCTGGAAGGACACTGACACAGCGGTCCTGGGAAGGCAAGCTGTGCCCTGCCCAGAGCCACCACCTGCCCAGCTGTGCTGAGGGCCAGGGCCCACGAGGCTCAGCCTCTGGGCAGTACTGGGAGGGCAGCAGCATCTCAACAGAGCCGCACACTCCTGTGGGGAGCCGGTCTGCCCTGTCCAGAGAAAACAGCTCCTAAGGAGCTTGTTCAGGGATGGCCACAGCTGGTCATTCATGAGGGCCTCAGTGGAAGAGATCCCAAGGGCCGTGACAAGGTGGGCCCAGTCAGACATCACTGGCTTCATGCTGGAAACACTGTCCATTGCCCACTGACAGGGACCATCCAGCAGCCCCCCTGTGCTGCCGTCCCTCTGGGTTCCCCCAAGAGCTGTCCTGGGGGTCTGTGCAGCACAGGGGAGAGCGAGGATCCCCAGGACCCTGGACCATGCTGGTGGACACGCTGGACCAGAGCCATACCGGCCTCACTTAGAGCTGGGACTTCCACAGCTCTGACCATCCCACCGAGGCTCTGGTGGCCCCGGTCACCTGCACCGACCCTTGACACTTCACAGGGTGTCTATTGACTCTGATGCACACCTGGTGTCTCCTGAGGGTGGACAATATGGAGAGGTGGTGGAGAGAGGAGTGGGCCAGGCCAGGCCCAGGGAGGGATGTGCCACGAGCCTCACGTGGGGAAGGCTCGGGTCTCCATCAGGAGTGGGGCCTGCAGACCTAGCCAGGGCAGCCGAGTGGCCTCGGCCAGAAGCCAGTCACAGCCTCCAGAGGAAAGAGCTCTGGTCACCCGAGTGGCCCTGGTGCTCTGGGAATGTCCATCCCCATCATCTCTGGCCTGGATCATCCTTCAACATGACCACAGGCCCAGTCACCCAGAAGGACCCCTTGGCACCCCCCAGGGTGCCTCCCCTAAGGACTACGAGGAACCAGCCAGGTGGACCTGCTCCCAGGCCAGTGCTGGATGGGCCTATGAGGACGGCTAAGTTCCCACTGTCCCCGAAGGCCAGCAGAAGCGACACTGAAGATCTACAGGCTGCCTCCTGGCGCCGTGCACAAGGAGGAACAGGAGGAACCCAGGCTCGGCCTTGGGGGCTATGCACCCCTGAGCATAGGCAGGAGGGCCAGCTTTCCCTTCCTGTGGGGAGGAGCAGGGCTTGGCCGGGAGTCCTGGGTGGAGGCTGGGCCTGCCTGGGCTTGCTCCTGGGGCAGCTGCCTCAAGATGCAGATGCTGGCCGGCCGAGTTCAGGCCCTGCTGGGCTGTCCATGGAGCACGAAGCAGGAAGATCGCTCAGGGCCCAGGCTGGCCTGAGACCCCAGGACAGTTCCCCAGGGCGTCAGGACCCCAGCCCCTCCCTCCAGCTCCAGTCTGAGGTGGCCTTTGGGGTCGGGACCCCAACTTGCCTCTGGGTCTAGCCAGCACCTGTCCCTCAGGAGATGAAGTGGGCCCCCAAGTGACTGCAGGGATGGGCTCTTGGGGCAGAAGCTCAAGGCTGGAGGAGCAAACCCCAGAGGCCTGCAACATGGTGTCCAGGGTCAGCCCCAGCCCGTCCCAACCCCAGATCCCGCCCAGCACCCATCCATCTGCCGGCCTCTTGCCCCCTGGCTTAGYTATTGTGGCCCCAGCTCTTCCTTCACCCCTCTAAGGGCAGCAGCTGCAGAATTCACCAGGTCATGTCGAAGGGCATGAAGGGGTGGCTCCCACTGCTCCCTGTGTGGCCCCGAGTGCACAAACACACCTGTGCACACAGCCCGCCCATGCTGCTGACGTCACACTGCACTGGGTTGACGGCTGGGGCCCCCGAGCTGGAAGATGCAGACCAGRGCCTCTGCTCTGCTGGCCACAACTGCACCCTGCAGTGGACATAGCTTCCCGCTGGTGCATGTGACCAGGCCCCCTGGGCTCAAGCTGCAAACCTGCAGTCCCCAGACGGCATCTCAAGGGCCCTCCTCCCAGACCAGCAGCTCCACCTCCACCATGAGTCTCACCTGTGCCCACCTGGCACTGTGGCCTGCGTGGCTGAGTGGGCAGAACACATCGCCTCCCCAAAAGCGCCAAGTGCTCAGCCTCTGGCAGGTCAGAGGGCACAAGCTGAGGCAGAAAGTGAGCCCATCTGGCCGTACCCAACACTGGGCACCAGCTGACATCCRGCAGGTCCCCTGTAGGTGTATACAGGTATGCTCAGGAGGTCTGCAGGAGGGCAGAGAAGACAAACTAGCCCCATTCCCAGGAACTGCAGGTGAGGCCTAAGACATGGCACCAGGGAGAAGTTAACACTGATGTCCAGCTCTGCATCCCCCATGGCCAGCAAAGGTGAGGCAGACACCGGATTCAAACCAACTGCTCAAAATGAGGGATTCAAGTGGCACTCAGACACGGCTTGACCCAGAAAATCAAGGTGGCCACTCAAACTCTGTTTCTGTACTGGTGGTTCCTTGGCTTTGCCTGATTCTAGGTGGGAAGGCCCATTTTTTATACTCCATTGTATGGACAAAGCACTGCTGGTTCATCCATCACCCATTGATGGGCAACTGGGTTGATTCCACATTCAACATTGAAACAGCAGGGGTCTGGCTGAGCCTGGAGGCTTGTCAGAGGACAGTAGCTGGAGGCCAGGGGCCGGGAGTCAGGCAAGCAGCTGAACTAGCCAGGACTCTGGGGCCACAGCTGTGTCCTGCTGTCTCCCTGAATGCCATGGAGCTGCCTAGAGGAGAGGGTGTCCTGTAAAGACCAGGGACCCCCTACCTGGGGACCCCCAACCTTAGAACCCCTCACAGAGTCGGCCCTGCTGTATTCTGTAATTGCAGTGAGAATTTCTCATACACATAAACCCGGTGCCGGCTACTTCGGCCCCTGCTGCCTGGTGAGCTCAGTTAACTCTGCAACTCTGAGCAGGAATAAAATCACTGCCTCCAGAAGAGGCTGGGACGCTGCACCGCAGCCATTAGCCACCATCCTGGGACTGCGGACACTGGCGGAGGATGGGCCCTGCTCCTAGGCTGTGCCCAAGTAAAAGGACAGGCGCTGTGAAATGTCCTGCTGCCTCGGACTTCCCAGCCAATGAGAARAGTCACTCCCCCTAGGTTCTGACCAAGGCCAGTGGTCACTGCTCTGTGGGACAGACTCCGTGCCTCCGGAGGCACGGGGAGGCTCCAGCAGCCTGGGCTTCAGTGTCCTGAGGAGCGGCCTTAGCCACCCCAGCATCGGGAACCGGGCGCAGGGGTCACTGCTGCCCTTCTAGCAGCACATCCACAGACGTGGCCCCAGGCTAGGTCGCTAACACTTCTAAAATATATGGATGTAAACATATGGATGTAAGATGAATTATTACAGAAATAACAGCAGTGGTCAGTGAGTCTGTTGCCTAGAGCTGTGTCCCCTCCACAACTCCAAGGCGTGTCRCTCAGAGTCTGATATCAGCCAGGGTCCATGAAGTTGAGCAGTGCCCAGCGGGAACAACTTCCCGCTGGGCACTGCCAAATACCTACACTCAGATAACACGAGCCACCACAGCAGGTGGGGCGACTTGCTCTGGGTGTTCAAGATGACAGCACAACTCACTGGGGACGTGGAGTATTCTTCAACCCCCCCGACTCTGGTCTTTTCACCTGTTGAAGTTTCACCAGGGATATTTACGCTCCGCTCTGTGCTGGGTGCGCCGCTGGCTCTGGGGGATGCAAGGAGTTACCCTCCCACCTCCCGCCTCAGGGCGCAAGAGCCCGCTATGAGAGGCGGCCAAGGCAGGCTCTGGGGCTGCTGGCCCAGCCAGGGGTCTGCTCATGGCTGACTGCATCTGCAGGACCCCCGCCATGATCGGCTGCTCCTTCGTGGTGGACCGCGAGTACTTCGGGGACATCGGCCTGCTGGACCCGGGCATGGAGGTGTACGGTGCGGAGAACATCGAGCTGGGGATGAGGGTGAGTGGGCGTCAGGCGCCGGGCTCCGCGGGGCATCGCCTGCGGCCTGGCGGGGGGGCGGGGACTCAGTGGCGGCCAGGGTGTCGGACTGCGAGTCCTTCTAGAAAGAGCCGGGGTTTGGCCTGTGCGCACGGTAGCAGAAGACGATGCCAAGGATCTGGTTCGCAGGCTGTTCGCAGAGCCTTGGCCGAGAGTTGAGGAGGGTCGTGAAGAGCTGGCCCGGCTCAGAGCCAGGCGCAGCCGCAAGGAAACCCGTCCTCAATCAGCGCTGTGCCGGCCTCTGGGGGCGGAGAGCAGGAGCGGAAGGAAGACGTGCCTGAAGCCTCTTGTGGTGCAGCCTCGCGGACCGCTGGCAGGGCGGGGCGAGGGCGGGGTGGGGCCTGGGCAGGGCGGGGGCGGAGCAGGGGGAGGTCCCTGGGTAGGGCAGGGGCGGTGCCTGTGCCGGGGTCCAGCGAGGTACCTCAGGTCGACTTCCAGGGTCCAGATGCTCAACCCCTGAGGAGCTGGGTGTGGGTGCAGCCCCACCTAGAGCCTGCCCTGTGGCTGGGCAGGCACCTGTCCTGGGCCCACAGCAGGGAACAGAGAACAGAGGGTAGGACCTGCTTTTCCTGCTGGACTTCCAGGGGATAAGGAGGAAGGCTGTGAGACCAGGGGGGAGGCAGAGGAAACGAGGGGCAAGGGTCAGGGGAGGCTTGGCTCAGAGGCAGCTGGTGAGCTGCAGAGAGAGTGGCAGGCACCGAGCAGGCAAGGACCCTGGGAAGGGGGGGGGATAGGCCTGGGGCCYGAGGGCAGCAGAGAGAAGAATCAGGGAGGGAGGCTGGCCTCAGGGAGGAGGCAGAGGAAAGATCCTGAAGCCTTGCATTCCTGGGCAGGAGGCCAGTGGCATTTGCCAGGGGAGGGGCGTCCAAGGCAGCTGCTCTGAGCTAGACCTGAGCAGTTCTGAAATGGGGAGACTGGGAGGAGGTGTGCACAAGGAGGAGGCCCTGGAGTTCCTGGACCTCGAGWCCACCTGCAGTTCCCTAGATGGGAGTGGGGAGCAGCAGCACCCTAGAGGGACACCGAGGAGGATGGGGCAGGGGCTAGAATCTGCCACAAGTCCCTGTGGAAAGCCCCAGGGCCTCCAGGCTCTGCCCAGGGAAGGTGTGCCAGCTACTGCTCGTGCCAAGGATGTCCCCGGAGAATCCCTGTGAGTCTGGGCCTTGGCTGGCCTGGGCCTGGGGATGCTGGAGCTTAGACCTTCCCTGAGGACCCAGGGCCACACCACAATCCYTCCAGCAGGAGCAGGGCAGCCAGGATGATGGACGTTGCTGGTCTCTCCCCAGCCCAGAGACTGGAGCGCCTGAGTCATGGGGACAGCCCTGTCCCAGCTCGCTGAGCCTGAAAGAGAGGCAGAGAGAGAGGCCTCCAGTGCCACAGAGAGCAGTCCCTGAGTCCCCCCACTGTGGGTGGAGCCTCTGACATGGGTAGCACCATGGAATGTGTGGAGAAGGGTCTATAACAAAGGGAGGCTGAACAGATTCAGTGGCCGGGCCTGCAAACACCACCCACCAGCACAAGAGGAAAGGGGGGCAGAGAAGTAAGCTCCCCCTGCCAGGCCGAATGGATGCATGGACAGACGGGAGGGGAGCTGATCCCCTGGGCCTCAGGGCCCTGGTGCACTGTGAGCTGGAGCTTGCTAACCTACACCAGGGTCACTGACCCGGAGCTGGCTGCTCCTTCTGGCTCTACCAGGGAACGCGCCAGCCATGAAGACTGTCGAGTTTTCCACTGTAAGTCACAGCAGATGGCACTTCCCAGGGCAGCTGTCATCCACATATGTCTTGTGGCACGGACAGTCCTCCCTCCAGAGGTCAGGTCTGGTTAGCTTCCAAGTACAGTGGACACAAGGCCTGGAGCCCATGCTGGCTATACAGAACAGGGAGTGACGTGGGCTCTCCAGTCCCGAGGCCCCAGCCAGCCAAAGGATGGAAGCACCTTCCATATTCCAGCCCCTGTCCTCCCACAGGCCAGGCATTGTGGAGCAAGAAGAGGTGCCCCCACTGTGCCCTTTTCCCACATGTCACCACGGAACCCAGGATCTTGGTGCAAGTAGTCATTTTGTGTGGCGAGTGGGGCTGTTTGTTCTGCAGCAGCAGCTCCCACGTGCCTGCTGACCTTCAGCTCAGAAGCACCCCCCCCCCTCTACTGACCAAGAGCAGAGGTCCAGAGGCTGTGAGGCCTGGGGGTTGAGGGGAGCTCCTGTTGAGGGCAGAATGGTCATGGGTGGTCTTCCCCTGGTGTCCAAGAAATAGGACCATCAAGGCAGGATGAGGAAAAGGAAGGAGAAGAGCAAAGACGTGGGCGGGGTTGGATCCTCCTCGGTGGGCAGCCCAGGCGTGACTTGGACTCCATTCTAATCGCAGTGGGGAGACCTGGAGGGTTACAAGCCAGGGACTGATCTGAGGGTTAGTTAAAAGGGATGCCTGGGCCACTGTGTAGAAAGTGGACGGTAAGCAGAGTCGAGGAGGCCAATAGGGAGCCCACTGAGTACAGAGGATTGGGGTGGAAGCTGCCTTCCTGCAAATCTTCCATGGCCACATACAGGGCACATGAGGGTCACCTCTCCTAGCCAACAGGAAAGAGCAGAGGCCAACAGCATGAAGAGCCTGACTTTCCAACGTGGAGAGCAGGAGGAGGGACAGGCAGATGAAAGATGGGGCAGAAGTGTGGTCCAGTGTGGAGTCAGCTATCTCTCCAGCCGTTGGCTGCACAGGAACTGGACTTCTTAAAAATGCCCTTTGTTATAGGATTCAAACCTAGAGCCACATGGAATAAATCTAGCCCCAAAATTGTGGAATATCTGTACAATGTAAACAGGAAAACATTGCTGGGAGAACTTTCAAAGGACTAAATAGATATACCATGTTCATGGGCTRCAGGATTCATGATGTTAAAATGTCGCATTTCCCCAAAGCCATCCATGGAGCCAACACAGCCCTGATCCAAACCCCAGCAGTCCTTCTTACATACACTGACAGGCTGATCCTGGAATTCACGTGGAAGGTAAAGGCTGCCCAATGGCCAGCATGCATTTGAGAGAAAAATAAGGGCAAAAGACCTACAGCCTCTTATTCCCAACCCCAAAGAGCCATGGCCCATCAAGTCCAAAACTCCAGTGGGACAGAATAGAAGACCTGGGAGTAAAGCCCACGGGGATGTGACCTGCTAGCATGGACCATTCCAATGAGGAAGGTTGACTTCTTAGCAACTGCTTCTGCAATGATGGGTGCCCAGATGGAGAACAGCAGGGAGAATGGAGAGCTGTAAGGACGAGGAGCTGTGGAAAAGAGGGAGGAGGGTGGAGGGGAAGCCCTAAAGGAGAGGAGGGAGGAGGAGGAGCCCTCAAGGAGAGGAGGGAGGAGGAAGGAGGAGGAGCCCTGGAGAAGAGGAAGGAGGAGGAGGAGCCCTCAAGGAGAGGAGGGAGGAGGAAGGAGGAGGAGCCTTAGAGGAAAGGAGAGGAGGGAGGAGGAGCCTTAGAGGAGAGTAGGGAAGAGGGAGGAGGAGGAGCCCTGGAGGAGAGGAGGGAGGAGGGAGAAGGAGGAGCCCTGAAGGAGAGTAGGGAGGAGGGCTCTGCTTATTGAGGGACCCAACCCTGGTAGGAGGAAGGAAGGATCAGCAAAGATGGCCTCTACCTAGAGTCACAGGAACCCAGCCCTCCTGGCTGCAATGGGTCCTGGTGCTGCCTCCTCTGCCCTCCAGCTGCATGTGAGGCCAGCAGGGAGTGTGGACCTTGAGCCACCAGGTCACACTATCCATGTCCCACCATCCAGCCTCACGCATTTCACCTGATGCCCAAGGCCCTCAGTGTCACCATGGCTAGCTTGAGGGGCTGCCCACCCTGACAAAAGATTGTGGTGACTTCTCCAAGGTCTTAGCAAATTCCCAAGGAGCACATCGAGTGGACGAAGCAAGKGTCAGCCAGCATCGTCCGTGGGCCCCGTGGGTTGAGGGTCCGAGGCTGTGCTGGACTGGCGCTTCTTGGGTGTATATTTGGGGTTTGGGGGCTTCCTTCCTTCAGCATTCTGTTTTGCCCGCGGGGCTTCTACTCACAGAGAAGAGTATTCAGGGCTGGGATTTAAGTTTTCACTTAGAGTCGATTAAAGTCGCCGCCTTCAAAACCTGCTTACTGTAAGTTGAGTGTGAAGATCACAATATGTTTGTGAATCCAGCGAAGCAGTCCACTGCCCCCGGTCTGATGAACTTGGGGAGTCCCTCAGACGTCACTAAGCACCCTGCCGCGGCCTGAGGGTAGTTGAATTCCTGTGAACCTTTTAAAAGTGACCCTTACAAATGAAACATACTTTCCTTTCTTTCTAAGACTTCGGAGTGCCTGAAAATTACCTTGTGGCGAATCTCAGGGCCCTTGGGCCTCTCAGGACCATCTGCACGTGCATTAAGTTCTCCAGCACTGTGCAGTGTTAAGTCACAAAGCTAGACTCCTCCTCAACTGCATTGTAAAAACGGAACCAGGGGCTTCATCTGGCAGATTCTTTGAAGCATCAACATTCCTTGGCAGTTCTGATGGGAAGCAGGAGAAAAGAGGGGAGGATACTGGGTGGCCAGGCAGCTGGAGTGGACTCTGAGGGTCAGAGTGGGGTCTGGGTGGGGCCATGTGAGCAGGATGAAAAATGGAAAGAAACTGCGACTCAGAGACCTGCGTGTGTCAGGAGGATAGCCAATGAATGGGACCGGCTCTGCTTCCCCGAGGGCTGCATGTGTGAGACCTCAGGAGCTGAGTTTGGGGGAAGGGGCTTCCTCTTCTGTTTGGATGGGAAGCTGGGGTGGGGCAAGGGCAGGCACTGGCCTCCTGGTGTTGCCATGTAGGTGCGAGGGAGGGGAATGGGAGACCTAAGAGGAGGCCTCCTGTTGTCGCAGACCCAGTAAAGCCTGAGGTGCACAGAGACAGGCACTTTCTCCCTCCTCCCTGACTGCTCTGGCTCCGGCCAAGGAATATTGGCGGG